TGAACTAAAGTGAATTGTGAACAGTGTTCAATGTGCATATCTCTGGAACACACTGGACATTTCTAGAATGTGTTATAATTAGTTACTAGTTTGTAGCTGGTAATATTTCTGTAAAAGCTCTGATAACAGTACAGGCCAGGATACTGGTGAGAAATCCACTTTACTCCTTTAGGAAAGGCGACTCATTTTCAGTGCATCCTCGCTGCATGATTAATAACACTGCAAATTTTACAGAATGAGGTCAAATAAATAAAGTCCTTCGGCCGGCATCTCTGTATGCAGCATCTGGGACTGCATGTCCAATGAATCAGTGGCAGACACATAAGTCCCTGAAGAGTTCCAGTGCACACAACCCCAGTACTCCCATTGTAAAAAAAAAAAAAAAAAAAAAAGAATATCAGAAAGGGAGGATGGTGGTAAACTTAGGCCACAGCAGGGCAAGAAGTGGAGCTCAGCTTGTACATTAGATGTGTGATGACTGCGCAGCATGTTGCTGGCAGACTATAAATACGACCCAGAAATGCTAAAAATGTGACAGCCATCCTTATTTCTAATGCTCATAAGTATGAAAGGGTTCTTTAGCTGCTAATTAGAAAATTGTAGATTGTCTAATTAAACTATGGTGCTACTATTTTACAAAATATATATATATACTAATAGTTTGAAGTGACCTGAAAGGATAACTTTTTATTACTGGAATCAGGTTTTGTGATATTGTCAGCATATGAAGCAGTCCCGAGTGTTATTACACGCTAATAGCTAGTCAGGCTGGCCAGTTCTTGAAGGCTATACGACATTACAATAACTGATAATGTTTTATTAAAAAAAGGTTTATTTGCTCTGAATTTGAGCAGGTAAATAAGATCATCTGCGAATGTCTGAGGATTTTGTCCTAATTGGATATTATGGACTTGAAATAACATAATTAAGCTTTTCTTTCTTTCTTCAAACACAAATTATCCTATTCCATTGACAAATTCTTACCTAGTCAAATAAAGGGAAAATTAAATTTCATATTTTGAAGTGTAGTGCAAATAAGTTTTACCCAGGTGCTTTGTAGGCATTCTCAGATGCTCGTCTGGCCGGCTATACGTTTCCTGGATGGAGCCGCCTGTGGTGACAGCTGCCTTTTGTATCTCTGCTTCTGTCTCCTTGAACCCCAGTCGGCCTCTGCAGATTTCTTCCTGCTAAAAGGGAGTTTTTCCTCTCCACTGTTGCTACAAGCATGCTTAATATAAGGGATTGCCTTCCAGTCAATGACTCGATGCAATCAGTTGGTTTTTACTTAGATAGAAAATTTTGAATCAATCTGACTGGATGATCTGGTGAACTGGAAAGTGCCTTGAGATGACGTGTGTTGTGAATTGGCGCCATAGAAAAAAATCATAACTTAACTAACATGAGTAAGGTTACTGTTTATATATATTGAGTGAGTTGGGGGGGTACACATCCTATCTCTGTGCAGAGGGGCAGCAGTTTGCTCCTCATTGTCGGCTTTAAGTCTGACCTTTTCCCAGTATATACTGGTCTCGGCAAGCTGCCCTCCATTACTTTTATGAACACAATTTCTAGACACAGACAAGGGACCGAAAAGGTTTTTTTGTCTCTGCTTTTTATGGATGATGTATAGATTGGGGCAGCTTGGGCCATGTGAAGTGAAGCTGAAGATCAGCTCCTTCAAGTCCAAGTCCTTGGTTCTCGACTGGAAAAAGGTGATTTATCCGCTTTTGTTCAGTTTCTTTCCAGATGCAAAGGAGTTGAAATTCTCATCTTTCTGCTCATGATTGATGGCAGAATTGATTAGAATAGATCGATCGATAAGACGGATAGATGGAATCGGTCCAATGCAGTGGATGAAATCAGCTTCTATGGCAGAGTGGAGAGAAGCAGCTTTGAAAAGCAGTTTATTTCTTATTTAAATAATTAGTTCCAAATTTTATATTTAGTTTGCAAACTATATATGAAGTTTTTTTAAATAAATGTTCATCATCTCCAAACGAAATATTTAGTCTGTTAAATAAATATTTAGCTCCAAATTAAATATTTAGTTTGCAAATTAAATATTCAGTTTGTTAAATAAATATTTTGCTTTTAAATATTTAGCTCAAAACTAAATTTTTTGTTTTTCAAATCAATATTTAGTTTTAAAATAAATATTTAGCTCCAAATTAAATATTTAGTTTGGAGCTAAATATTTATTTAACAAACTAAATGTTTAGTTTGCAAACTGAATATTTAGCTCCAAACTAAATATTTATCTAAAAAATTAAGATTTTTATAAATGAATGAATCACATAGTGAAAAACGTGAGTTGGAAAAAATAAACCCCTTCTTTTTCTCTTAAAACACGCTAAATAACCATAAATATTGCTTCTAATTTTTGACTGCTTAACTTTACAAACGGCACCCCTTACTCAACTACAGCCATTATTTTCCATTTATTTCTATATATTATGATCACACATTTATAGGATGAAATATGAGGTTCTATTATGGAGGATGGTGGCTTTATTTATCAAATGAACTTGAAATAGTTAATTTATAGGCTTGTGAACTTAGTTTATTTTTGAAAGAGTGAACTATGAACGTGTGTAAACTGAACTTTGAGCTCGTTCTTTTTAAATATGAACTGGCACAACATTGCAGCCACTGCACAAAAACACTGGAATTTACTACAAAATCATTTCCAATCTCATAAAAAACTTCCTAACAGAAACATATTTGGAGCCTTTGAACTGTTATGCCATTTTGGCCTGGTTGGTTACTTAGTAATTCAATTCAAGTGGTGCTAACTACAGAACAAGAGGTGGGAAGTTTATCAGATTTAAACCTGCTCAAAGAGCTATAAGGCAAACCTCAAAATAGGTTGAAGGGGATTTAATTCTGTGTGATTGGGGTTCTTGAGAACAAAATTGTTTGTGTTTCGAAGATGTCAGGGATCATGTTATTCTTATTTAGGAGAATTTTCTCTACTGTTTGTATGTCGGCTGCAATAGCTATGTATTTAATGTATGTATGTAATGTATTGATCCACTCACACCACTTATTTACTAAATTCCAGTATTTGTGTGCATCTTCAGATGCAAACTTTCAGCTAGTCATGTCCATCCATCTTGAAAAAACTTATGTTGGTGGGTTGAAGTGTTGTGGCGGAATTGCAGCCTCTTCTGCATCTTCAGCCAATGGTTATGCAGCGAGCACACTCTTATTCAATTCAGTTGATCGCAGTTTATCAATGTAGCACCAATTCATAACATGTCATCTCAAGGCACTTTACAGAGACAATTCAATCAGATCATTCAGTCAGATTTGCTGAACATTTTCTACCTAATAGCATCCAGTCATTGACTTTGCATGATTCACTTCTACTAGATAAGCATGAGGCAACTGTAGATATTTGCTTGCATTGTGGTTCTGACCCTACACTAAACCCTTAAACTGAGATAGCATGCAGCAACAGTGGAGAGAAAAACTGCCTTTTAACAGGAAGAAACCTCAAGCAGAACCAAAACCAGGCTGCCGAGGCTGACTAGGGCTCAAGAAGACAGAAGCAGACATAGAAAAGGAAGACAGAAGCACTGATCCATACATGCTTTGTATTTTAGTGTAATCTAGCTCCACTGATGGCTCTGTCTAGAAAAGAAACAGTTCAGTAGCCAAGCTCTGAGCAGGTTTTCATGCCAAAAGGGATGAAAGAGAGAATATTCAGTCAGTCACAGTTAAAGCTGTGCCCATAGCTATATAGGAGAGAAACAGGATTAAGCACTGGTAAACATGCCCAGCAGCCCAGCTGATATTTCCCTCCAGGATGTCACAGCCAAACTGGAACAGATCAGATGAAGGGAAAAAGCAAATAGAGGATCAAGTTAGTGGCTGAACTGACAAACACTGCAGAATGGCAGAATAGAGATCAAATTAAGCAGAATGATGAAAAAATATCCTTATGTCCTCCGGCAGTCTAAGCCTATAGCAGCATAACTATAGAGAAATTATTTAAAGATTTAGATTTAGAAGGTATTTAGATTTTAAAGGTTTTGTGCCACCAGAGGCCATGCAGGGAGGAAATGTGTTCATTTTCTGGTATTTAACTGGTACAGTTGACCAGCAAGAATATTATATTGATTTATGATGATGCTATTTTATTGTTTTTGTTTTTTTATATACTGCTTTTCTTCTTTCAGTGTGCTGGTTTAGTAAGAAATGCTTGACATGTTCTCCACATGTTTCACATAGGAAGATCTTTTGCAGAGCAGTGCTGAATTTTCCATTTCTATTTCCAGAATAATTAATCTTTGGCTTCTGTATAAATCACCATGTCATAAAGGTTTAACGGCCTCTTGGTTCAAACTAATCTGGATTTTAGAGAAACTAACAAATCATAAGCCTTAAGCAGAAAAAAAATTTTAAAATCCTGAACTACCTTGTTGATTAACTGTCAATTCCAACTTTCCAAATAGTTTTAAAGAAAAACACAGGGAAGGTGATTTGACACAAACAGAAATAGTGTGAGGCCAGCCTTACTCTTGTTTGGCCGACATCAAAAGGCTGAAGGACTCTCTTTAGGAGCATTAATTGGATTTATTGTCAAGATGATTAAAGAGGGCAGAAGAATCAGAGGATAGTAACCACAGTAACTGGATGTGTTCTACCCTGAACTGGGAATTATGTAACCCTTTCTACTAGATTAGTAAGGTTTCTCTTTAGTGATTTATTGCTGTATTTAGCAGATGAAAACTTAACCTTAAAATCTTTTTCATCATGTCTTCAGCCATACTAATTTATCTGGTAAATTGGGCACAAGGACACATTTTGTGGAAAGTGCATTCAGCAAAATGGTTGTTGTTTTCAAAAAACAGTGCCTTTTCAGAAATGCATGGACAAATCAATGTTCACCCATTTTTTGAACCCTGCAGAAAGACTATTATTTATACAGCAATAATATTTCATGTTACTTGACCATTCTGTTACTTACACATGCTCTCCCCTAACACTCTCTACAGGGACTGGATTCATGCATCGAGCCCCCACTCTGCCCCCTAAATGACTCAGTAAAATGCAGCTTAGCTTCGGATCGAGCTGTAAGCTGTGATCAAGCACCCGGACTCCAGGGCTACCCCACGGCTAAGGCTTTGCAGCTGGAGACGACATCGAGGAGCATGAGTGTTGGAAGAATCAACCGCTACAGCATTGTTTCGTCGGAGGAAGAGGGCCTCCGCCTCACTACCATGCATGGCATGAATGGTTTTGGGAATGGCAAGATCCACACACGGCGCAAGTGCCGCAACCGTTTCGTGAAAAAGAACGGCCAGTGCAACGTGCAGTTTGCCAATATGGACGACAAGTCACAGCGTTACATGGCTGACATCTTCACCACTTGTGTCGATATCCGCTGGCGGTGGATGCTAATAGTCTTCACTCTTGTGTTTGTTATATCATGGCTAGCTTTTGGGTTTGCCTTCTGGCTCATTGCTTTGCTGCACGGAGATCTAGATAACCCAGCTGGAGATGACAACTTTACTCCCTGCGTACTACAGGTCAATGGATTTATGGCTGCATTCCTGTTTTCCATTGAAACACAGTCAACCATAGGGTACGGTTACCGCTGTGTGACTGAGGAATGCCCGGTGGCGGTCTTTATGGTGGTCTTCCAATCAATAGTTGGCTGCATCATTGACTGCTTCATGATAGGTGCTATCATGGCTAAAATGGCTAGACCTAAAAAGCGAGCGCAAACACTTCTGTTTAGCCACAATGCTGTCATTGCCATGCGGGATGGAAAGTTATGTCTCATGTGGAGAGTGGGAAATCTTCGTAAGAGTCACATTGTAGAGGCCCATGTCAGAGCACAGTTAATCAAACCTCGGATAACTGATGAGGGGGAATATATTCCGCTAGACCAGATAGACATTAATGTAGGGTTTGACAAAGGTTTGGACAGAATCTTCTTGGTTTCACCCATCACTATTCTCCATGAGATAGATGAGGAGAGCCCTTTGTTTGGGATCGGCAAACAGGACCTAGAGACTGCAGACTTCGAGATCGTCGTCATCCTTGAGGGAATGGTTGAAGCAACCGCCATGACCACCCAGGCTCGCAGCTCCTACCTGGCTTCAGAGATCCTTTGGGGCCATAGGTTTGAACCGGTCCTGTTTGAGGAAAAAAACCTCTACAAGGTGGATTATTCACACTTTCACAAAACTTACGAGGTTCCGTCCACCCCTCGCTGCAGTGCCAAGGACATGGTGGAGAACAAGTTCCTCGTGCCCAGCTCTAATACCTTCTGCTACGAAAACGAGCTGGCCTTCCTGAACCGGGACGAGGAGGAGGAGGAGGACATAGGCGGTGGGAGCAGAGCACTGGCAAATCTTAGTCCAGACAGGAACAGCCGACACGAGTTTGAACGTTTGCAGGCCACCAGGGCGTTGGATCAAAGATCATATCGTAGAGAGTCGGAAATTTGACCCTAACTCATTCACCCAGCATAACAATCCTTTAACTTTATCCAAGGAAATAAATGCAGAACAATGCAAAGTGCCATAGGAAGAAATAAGCACCGTAAAAGAATGGAAAACAAGTCTGAAATCCTACAAAAAGGGTTATGAAGTGTGTACAAATTTGAAATGATGGTAAGTAATGTCTACAATCAAGGAACAGAGAGACTTTCTTCCTACACAAAAACTTGAATGTTTTTTCATTGTTATTGTTTTGAGTTAAGAATTTTCAGTGTTAGTTTTTTTGACCAGACGTTATGACACATCTTAGGTGTAAATACATTTCTAAAGAGAGTTTGTGTGCAGTACCGGGTTGAAAAGGACCTGCAATTTCCATTTGTTCGTGGCCACCAATAATACAGTTCTGGATTTTCCCTCTTGCAGTGCTCTAATTTGCTGGACTAGCACTAAGGAAGACATTCAAATATCAGACAGTTCAGCATTTAGATACTATGAGTCGAGACATAATTTCATGGCTATATTCAATATTTTTGCATCAAATTATGTTTTTTTAAAGAGCAGAAAACATTGAATGCTCTTTTAAATTAACAAAAAAATGCTATGAACAATTAAAAAGAAACATTTAACACGTTATAGATGGTGTATAACAACAATTATGTTATGACAAAGCAATTAATGCAAGAAAACAAAGGCAAAATTTATGGAACATTAGATTTACATTCTACCACAACAGACTACAATAAGCAGCCTTAAAGTAATGAAAGTTGGTTATAGGAAATTTTATTTGGACTTCAGAGCACTGCAACCATACTTTTGTACAGCATGTAACTTAGCAGGTCAAATATGTTTCTTGGTAGCCATGAATTTATATTACATAGGAACATTTAAGCAATACTTTGGATTTTTGTTTTAAATTTGGTTTGTGTGGAGCAGTTACGAGTCATACAGTCAAATCCGTCATGGGGAAATCAAGCTAACTGTCTAAAATATCTCAAATTCAAAACAATCTGTTTCTCTGAATGCTTATGAGGTATTTTAAAGCTATTTTACTTTAGCATTAGACGTTTATTTTGTTTATTCACTTAAGTATTTTGCTAAAAAAACAAAACTGCCCTCCAGTTATTATTCGCAGAGAACCCGAAAATTATACTCAAGTAAGAGTAGCACTACTTCCTAATGGAGTTCATAAATGGTTAACTAAGAAAATACTCAAGTAAAACAACAAAATTCAGGCAAAGGAAATCCTTATTTCTTTTATTGATTTATAAGGCTGATATTTAGAGCAGTTAATTTTTATACAATATACAGCCAAAAGAACAGTATTTTGTCAACTGCAAAAACATGTATATGACATGTGATGGCATCCTAGTCTTCATCTTTAGGGATATTTATACATACATAAACGGTATGTATGTGTACCTTTTAGCCCCAAAAAGCCTGTTTTTTATTTAGTTACTCAGATAAGGTAGAGGTACATTTTACTGATCTATGCTACGCTCACACAGCAGCCTGAAGTGACAAAAATCTGATTTTCTGCCCATATGCTGTATCTGTATCTGATCAAATTTCTAATATCTTTTAATGACAGTCTGAACAACACAGATCCAACTTTTTCCAATGCGACCCAGGCCACCTGGCTCTGTGGTCCTGAATCCGATATGAATCTGCTCTTTTCAAATGCAATCTGTGTCTGAACGGCCGGGTCACGTTCATCCAACCTGAATACCACTAAAACTCAACAAAGGTCATTATTCTGTATCTTGCTGCACGAGCGGCAAGAAAAACAACAATCATGGCGAACGATAATTTGGATATCACTCTTTATTTTCACATTAGTTCTGCAAACTAGAAAAACATTAAAAGTTAATATATAAAAACCTACATTTTTAAAATCTAATTATATTAATGACATGATTTTTCTTGTTTCATTTCAAAGTGCAAGTCCCACAGCAATTTCCCTGACTGGAGCTGCTTGAGACAATCAGCTGGAGTGTATTGTTACTTTTTCTTGATGTAAAAATACCAAATAAAGCATTCAGTCAAACCATGAGGAACCTTTTAGGTCCCTGTTGTTTGAAATGGTGGAAACAGCCATGCGCTCTGTAGCTGTTAGCTTCTATGAGAACTCGTCTAGTCAGCTGCAGGTAAAACATTTCCTACTCGTGACTAATCCACTCAATCCCGAATTTTAAAAAGTAAAAACTGCAACCCATGTCATCCAAACTGGTACTGACTGATAACGCTCCTTCTGTATTTTTGCTTTTTTTAAATGAAACTATGCATATTACCCAAATCAGGGGGAAAACATATAATCGAAATCTGCACGCGATATGATTATGCGAGGAGATTGCTTTAATCAATATCCACTAATAAGAATTGAAGAACAGGATACTCAATTACTCTGAGCAGTTGAAATGTTGAACTATGTATGTAGAAAAAAAATGTTTTGATGAATCAGTCATCATCAAATTTAACAGCTATAACATTTCTGCAAAACAAATTCACCTTTTTCTAGATTTCTTAAATACTACAGCTCTTTCAAGTAGGAGAAATGTACTCTTTAGTTTGAATAAAATTAGTGAACATTAAAGGAAAACAAATGACAAAATTATAATTTCTTTTGGTCTGTTCACATCACAACGAACACAGCTACTAGAACCTCACTAAAAAAAAAGTTTAGTCAGTGGAAGGAGGTCAAAATAGAAGCAATAAACACTAAAGCACAAACATTTTAGTTGCTTTTATGAACTAATTCTTATTTTATCTTATATATCCAAAGAATTTTTTGAAGAGTATGACAGAAATGCTCTATTTCTTCTTATCTTCACTTCTATTATACCTATATAACAATTCATTTTATCTTTTTATTGATACCAAAGGGAGAAAGATTAACTCAAATTTAATTTCAAATGTTATTTTTCCAACGGAAGCAGCTGAAAACCATTTAGGCTGATACTATAGATACAATATGAAAGAAATTATCAAACCAATTTAAAATTTACTAATTTAACACAAAATCATTACAAGAGAAAACTTCCCTCAAAGGAAAGTGGAATAAATACACTAACGGATACGTTAGCAAAATAACTATAAAGTCTGGATTTTAGCTCTCTTGTGATTCCTCTGGTGTGTCATTATCTAACATCTGACACAATTTTGGTTTATAATCCAACATTTACAGATAAACATCAGGAAAGGTTAAATTAAAGGGTAATCATGCATTGGTTGTTAGGTTGTTCACAATGACTAATACTTTCCAAATACTCTTTTAAAATGCCTGATAATTTAACATTTATCCACAATTTAATTATCTTCAACAAAAATGTAGGATATAGAAAAATGTACAGTGGGCAAAATAGGTAAAAAAGATGTTTATCACAGAAAAAAATGGACTGTTCACCTAAAATTCACACCAGATGGCGGTAACAACCTACGTAATGGTCAAAAAGAAAGAAATTAAAAACAAATATGTCCAAATATGAAGCTATGTGATATGAAGTGAAATAAAACCAAAAAGAAGTAGCCTACTGAAGACATGAGACGGATGTAGAAAGGCGGGGGGAGGGGATAACTGGACTTAGCCTGTGATTTAAAGGAAGTTAATTATCTGTACCTTGAGTTCAAACTGCTGGCATTTAAAAAGGTTTTTCATGCAATGTGCAAAACACATGTCCCAATAAGTAAAGGCATAGAGCTGCTTCATGACCTTCGCATCACTAAAGATGGCATCGGTTATAGATGCATTTCAAAATGTTCCAGTGAACGCCATCTTTTTACCATAACCTCCTCATGACTGGACATGTTCAATTGGAGTTTGTTCAAACAGTGTTTATTTAATAAAAAAAAATATATATATATATATATTTAAAATGCAAAAATATTTTTTAAACAAATAAAAATTAGTGTTGCATCGATGCTATTCTTTGGCTCCGATACCGATACCCGATACCTGGCTGTGCAGTATTGGCCGATACCGATACCATCTGTTTGAAATTGATGTGTGTGTATAGATGAAGAACTGCATACTACTTGGATGTAAAATAATTGCCATCATGGCTTTGTCAAGCTGCTGCCTACCTTTGTGAATCAGGAAAAAGACTAATACAAAGTGAATCCAGTAGAACTTTTTATTTCCTACCTGGAATGGGTGACAATAGTTGAATAAACTTTTGGCTCTCAAAATGGTATCGATGTCCTATTTGTTGGTACTCGCTGATACCGATACCACCATTTTAGTGCTGGATCGGGGCCCCGCCCCATACTGGTATCGGTGCAACACTAATAAAAACTGAAAAGAGATGTTAAAAATTACTTTTTAAATTCAAGTTGTTGTTTTTTTTGTTTCACTTTTTTTTTTCAAACTACTGCCACCTCGAGGTGAGGTGGAGCCTGGATTGATGACTGACAGCTCAACAAAATAAACTTTATGACAACAATTTAGCTCCATACAGGAGTTTTTAGAAACGTAGAAGTAGTAGCTATGGTTTTTCTTGTTGTTTTTTGGTTGTTTTTTTTGGAAACAGTAAAAAAAAACATTTATTTTCTGCAGCATCTATGAAAGCTCATTACACCAAACTCCAGTATTAAAGATAAAGCGTTCACAACAACATAGAGCGATTAGGATAATAGCCAGCAAAATACAGATAGAGAACAAAGTGACGCTATATATCAACAAGACAAAAATGTCAGTTATATCCCCTTTGCAAAAAGTGTGTTTGGAGTTGAATTTGGATAATAGACAGCAAAAAAAAAAATATATATATATATATATATATTTTTTTTTTTTTATTTTTTTTTTTTATAGCTGCTTAGCATCTCCCAGCTGATCTGGCATTGAAGAATCCAAACATCGATACCAGATCTGTATCTGTATCGGATTGAGACCATCATGATGGGATTGATTCTTTGGTTTTAAGGCTACTACACGCTCCACAAGAACCCAGACATGTTTTCCTGCTCCCGCAGCGAATCATGTCATGCTGTTCCCTCAGCCCTGTCTTTGGGACGCATGGCGGCTTGTTCTCGAAACAATGCCTGGGGAGAACTTCTTTTACTCCGGGTATCTGACTACTGTACTCTGACTGAACAGGATTCAGATGGGTGCGTTTAGGTTGGAAAGCTGCGATACTTTATACTTCTGCTGAAAATAAGTCACGCAGTTCAACCCTGGTGGCTTAAGCTGTGGAACATGCGACCACTTCTCATTTAAAGCGTTTCTTCTATAGATCAGCCTGGTGGGGCAGTCATGCCCTCATAACGCTGCACTCTTCCAGTGTTTGCATTCCTTTCAAATAGATTTCAAAGCACCTAGAGCTCTAATTCATGTCTGCTGGTCAACATTCAGCTCCCTGCCTGTCCTGCTTGGTTCGCCCTCAACTGATCTTCAGTGACACGTATTATAG